GAAGAGGAAGAGGACGAGAGGCTGCGCAGAGAAGAGGATCAGAAAGCGGAGCAGCGGGCAAGGAAAAAGGGGATCAGGGGAGAGGCCGAACCGGTCATACAGGACGGACCGCCCAAAAAGAAGAAATACGCGGTCCGGTTGGAAGAAGAATTTGACGTAGAGAAGGTGATTGACCGGCTGTTGGAAGGGCATAATGACCTCATGACCCTGAAGGAAATCCTAGCGTCAGCCCCGCGACTCCGCGATGAACTGAAGGGGAGGTTATCACGGCGCCTAGTGCCCAATGTCGATCTAGGTACGATCCTGCCCAAGGAGGCAGAGTGGGCAGAGTCAGGTACGAAGATGGACTGGAAGTGCGTAGCCTGTGGTATGGTGGATTTGATGGTGAAGGGTTCCAAGTGCGCAGCAATGGTGGACACCGGGGCAGAGATAAACATTATTCAGGAGGCGGACGCGATCAGATTCGGGCTGGATATAGACCGTTCTGACTGCGGTATTCTGCATGGAGCCAGCTGTAAGGCCATGTTTTGCGGGACAGCCTCGAATGTGCTCGTCGAGGTTGGAAAGGTGAAGGCCAGGGCATGCTTCTTCATAATGCCAGACGTGGACCATGGAATCCCTCTGGGGAGGTCATTCCTAAGCAGGACAGAGATCGTGATGTTCAACAGACATGATGGAACGTTGATCCTCCTCTTATGCGATCCTGCCTGCGGAAATTATGAAATAATTACTTGCAGGAACACCGGGCCAAGGAGCATAAGGAACTGGCCCAATCCAGGATCATTCACAATCGAGGAGTCGGAAGGGGAGCGCAGAAGGCTCTGGGCAGAGCCCGAAGTAGGAGAGAGGGTGGAAGCATTTTCCCTCAGCCTGTCAGATGTTGGGAAGGTCATGGACCTGGTGACTGCGCATGAGATGGCAGATCCGGATGCTATCCAGGCCTTGAGGGAACAAGTTCTGGAATGCCCTGAGGCAGGAAGGTTGAAACTGGTATATCGGCTCCTAGGCAGTGGAGGGAACCCCGCATCAGTGCAAACACAATCCGTGAGTCGGCCTTTTTTAGGGGACGGCTCAAGCAGGGTTCCCAAAGGCGGTACAAGACGGTAGACAAGAAGTGCCGCCCGGTACCCGTCCTCGTTACAGAGGACGAGGAAGCATATTACGAGAGGGAGCGAGGGTTGATTCGACGAATGAGGGAAAGTGCTTTAGAAGGGCCATGTCGTATCAACGAAGAGAACGAGAAGGAGTTGATCATAGGGGAGTCTGATTTCCT